GTATTTGTTGGATTCGATGACATTTATTATGCACACACAAGATCGAGTGCACTCTCAACTTCATTAAGTGGGATGAGTGTTAATGAAGTGACACAGTGGTAATTGTGTACTAAAATTAACATTATAACTAAAAACAGTAATCAGTCGGACTCTAAGAAATGAATCAGTGCGCATTTTACTCTTGAAAGCTTTTTGTTAATAAACGATAGCCTTCAAGCAGTTTGAAACCTCATGAATGCATCGTACTCTTTCGGTTCAGTCTGTAATTCAACTTCTCCCTCATGTTGTTGGTTCAAGCGTTAAAATTGCCTAACTTTATTCGCCTTGTGATCATCATAATAAACTTTTTACACTATTCTAATGAATGACTGTTCAATTATAGACAAATCTCAAACCGTTTATTGAAGAAAAAGATTATATGGTTTTGAATACAATTGATCAATGGAAAAATGTTATATTTGGAAATGAACTAAATACGTTGAGATCAAATATTAATAATCCAGAAGTAAAAATTAAATATATTTAAAATATAAAATAATTTGCTTATGTTTTAGTTAATTCTCCATATAACATTTAGTCAATTTGTTAATATTTATTCAATTGCTATTGAAGCTTCAGAAGGCGAAAACAAATTATTTTTCGATGATTTTATTGCATTTAGTTTATAGAGAGTGATCCAAAAAACTGTAAAACTATTCATAAATCATTAAACAATTGAAACTGTTCAAATTCTCAAGTATAACCTCTTTTTTTCTCCATGTTAAAAATATGCTTAAAATTGAATAGATTTGAAAAGATACATCCTAAGTATGGATTATCAATTGGATTGGGGTGTGGGTGCGGAGGGTGATTATGGAAGGGGTAGAGGGTAACCGTGAGCGCAGGAACGAATATGGGTGTGCGGAGGAAGTGAGTTTGTGGAGTGAGTGTGAGTACGAGGGTGATTGTGGATGTGAATGAGGGAGTTCATGCGGATATTTCTATTTATATGTTTCATACATCTCAACAGTCATCCTCACATTCACTCCTCACGTTTACTCTCCTCAACACCCACGGTCATCCCGCACACTCACCCTCCCTCACCTACACTCCACCTTCCCTCACTCATACCCTACCCTCAATTAATCGATTATCCCTACCTGAGTGCACATAGCCACTTTCTAATTTCTGTTAAATTATTTTTTGATATTCATTTTATTTTGACTTCCTGGAAAAGATAGAAAATTAACACATTCCATCTTCGATTTATACAGAATTTTCTGATAGTATCCAATGATTTATTTCAAAATAGAAATAAAAACACACATGTAACAAAACAAAATGCAATATAATAAAAAAAAAAATTATATAGCATTTTCTGTCCATTCAATATTTGAAGGAATATGTTTTTGAAGTACTTGAAGGATTTCTTCTTGATCAGATAAACTTTTGCTTTCATTAAGACGTTGTTCGATATCTTTGATAATCGATTCATCCATTTTTATCATATCAATACAGATTTGTTTTTTCTCTAAATAAAAAATGTTTATATATATATATACGTATATGACAAAAAAATCGATGGTATCTACTTTGATAATCATCAAACAAATGTTGTGTTTCCTTGATTAATAAATCTGTTGTTTGTTGAATTGTATTACCATGTTTTACCTTCTCACTATGATCATTAAGTAATGTTTGAATAGCTAATTCCTAATTAAAATAAACGATTTATTTTCTTTATCGACAATTAAACTTACAAGAGCAGCAAGATTATCTTGATTATTTTTGCATCTTTTTCGAAGAAAACCAAGAAGTTTATGATTAAGTGTGATGATTTTTTTAAAGTCTTCATCAATATATTTATACTCATGATCAATATGCTAAGAAAAACTAAGAATTTAAAGAAAAATTTGATCAAAAACTTCTTTTTTTTCTTTACTTGACCATTAATTAAAATACATTTGAAACAAACATATTTTTTACATGTTGAACAATAAACTCTTGGCGTTTCTTTTGAATGATTAGAACAACTAATTTATAGATCAATAATATTAGACAATAACTATTAATTTAAGTTTTTCTTTTTGCTACCTATTTAATTTTGATATTTCAATAAATTCAACTAATTTATCTGCTAGACGACATTTTACAAAATCGGTTTGTTGAACAGGATGACTTTAAAATAACAAAAAAAAACACAATAAGAAAACTTTTGTATAATGAATACAGACTTACGAACATTTCGGACATGTTTTTTGTTTATTAATCCAACTCTACAAACAATAATAATAAATTATTCAAAATAATAACAATATTCTATGTTAATATACTTCAATGCATTTTGCACAGACAATAACAGAACAATGAATACACATACGAGAATCATTAACTGTATTAAGACACATGATACATTCAATTTCTTTCGACAAAGGCTAATAAACAAAATTTATTTTTTGTTGCCCATCTCAAATAATTTATTTATCTAAACTTACATCAATTTCAGCCAATAGTATGACACTATCTCGAATCATAACCTTGGGGAAAAGACTTATTTATAGTGACATTTCGAAAGATGGAAAAACAATCATCTAAAACAAATCTATCATCATTATGCACATAATCCTATTTTTAAAATGTAATATCTCGTAGAAAAAAAATTATTTTTAATTTTATTTTACTCCATACAAACATGATTGATTTCATTAGACTGATAGAATAATTATTTCCTTAATACACATTATAATTGACAAGAAATTTGATTTTTCAAGTGTTTTTTTTTCTTGATAATTAGTCATTTTATGAATTATCATAAAAATTTCAATACACTTTTATATTCATAACATGGATATTCTTCATAAAGTTCGATGAAATCTATTTTATTCAATAGATAAGAATACTTCTATATGTGCTTGTCATTATAAAAATTGTTCTTTATTTTTCTCAAATGAAAATTTTCCTTGAATAAAAAGATTAATTATTATTTTCATACATTATGCTAATTAAAAATTAAGATTAATATGTTCAATGTTCTATGATTTTAAATTTATTAATATTAAATAAATAGAATTTAAATATATTTAGAAAAAATTTTTTTTCTTGCTAATTCAATATAAATTATGGAAAACGAATGAGTGAATAGTAAAGAAAATAAATATATATATATATTTTCTTTCAAGATGACACTACTTCTCGAGGTCGTTTACTTTACAAT